CGACTGACAATTCGCTTTTTCACTCCTGCTGATTTGGCACGTTTGGAAGCCATCTCTATGTTTTTAGCAAGAACGTTAGGAATCTTCATTCTTTGTTGACTTCTCAATCGATTTATAGCTTCGTACTGGGGGTTATTTCGGAAATGTTGTTTAACAACATTTGTCTTTAGAATCTTATATTGTTCGTTATTTCTTGACAAGTGTTGGTGTTCTTTGAAATTTGGCAAAACTCGTAATTTGCTCAATCGCTGTCGATTATATTCTTGCTTGCGTTCAGTTCGCACTTGACCAATGGAATCTTTTCGCTGTGATACGCGCTCTTGCTCCACAAAAGTTGGACTCTTACGCAAATGTTCCAAACGTGCCGATTGTATTCTCTTTTTGAGTTCTTTATATCAAAAATTGTGGCCGCCAAATCAAACTCAATGGAGACTGGTGTTAGATCCACGTGACTGGGAACTGAATTTTGCGACAAACTATTTGTGTCGTTTATTGTCTTCGCCTTCTCACGCTTCGTTCGTGCCCATTCTGCCTGGTACACTTTCCGATCCATCTTTGACTTTGTTAATTTCTTAACATTACCACAAGTGTTATTTGATAAATTGTCCAGCAGCATAATATTGGCAGCGGGTGTTGGATACATATCTTTCTTTTCACAAAGAATAACATAAGCACAACCCCAATCAGGGACATGGTGGTGCGATATGGTGCAATCGTTAACGCAAAGGTACTCATGAGCGGTTTTTATGACAGTAAAGTAATGACCGTATTCAAAAGACCCCGTGTGAATAACAGCAGCCTTTACTCCGTAATCACATCCACCAATTTCGATTGTTTCACCAATTGTGACTTCTGCTCTAGAGTAAACGCGATTGCCAGCGACAAACATGTAACGCGCAATCAGCAAAACAACAGTATTTTCAATATGGGTTGGTTCTTTAAATGTTATTGCCCTTTCTGAGATACACGTGGAATTTGGACATGTTACATTAATGGCATGGTTGGCAAAGTGATTGACCACAAGCTCCTGCAGAAGTTGACCATTGCGTGGAGGACTTAAAACTAACGCAGAAGTAGTTTCAGGTCTTCTCCATGACACATTACACAGACAACACGTGAAATTATCTGAATACGATATTTCGAAGAAATTCCATTGGCCCTCAGATTTAAATGCATTGATAATTGACAGTAGTACCTCGGAAGCATCGTGCTGATGTCCATAGGTATATGAGAAGCTGTAATTCAAATCAAGATGCTGGAGAATTTTAACTTTGGAAGTAGACGCATTGATGAAAAAGTTTTCTGTGGACAGCATTTGACAAAATATCTTTTTCACAGTTGAAATTAACACGCCACCATGGTCAAATTCAGTAAGTCTACTGAGCCGATCTCTGATGCAAGCGCTTGACAACAAAAGCTGAAGAACAGAATTGAGATAGCAACTGTTGTCATCATTTGCAATGCCCGTGGGTCGAAATGGCTCCATTACATGACTGAAAATAGAAGTAACATAAAATTTAACATTTTGCTTTACGTTATTGAGTCCACGCTCCAACAAATTCTTTTTTTAGAAATACAAAAGCAAATTTGAAAATTAATTACCGGACAGATATAACTATAGATAAATCTTTAAAATAAATAATTTAAAATCATTTTTGATGTAGCTGCAACCCAAAAGCAAGTGGACAAATCTCGTTGGCAGCGTTCCCTGTAAATCGTTGTACGCTAATTGGTGATATACAGATCTTTCTGAAAATGTCCTAAACAGAACAATAAATTGAAAATCATTTTTTGCTTTTAACTACATAGCTAAGAAGTAAAACATCAAATTTCACAATCAAACAACAAAGACGCTAACTAACTAAATAAATAAATGAACGAACAAACCAACAAATGAACGAACAAACCAAAAATAAATAAACATAAATAAATAAATGAATAAATAAATACATACATGAATAATAAATAAAAGCAAAACTAAATGAAAAAAAATAATTAAATAAATATAGCAATAAATATCAACGAATAAACAAAACACACCTGATAAATAAATAAACAATAAAAAATTAAATCAATACATAAATAAATACATACATAAATAAATAAATAAATAAATAAATAAATAAATAAATAAATAAATAAATAAATAAACGCAAAACTGAAATGTACAAATAATTAAATAGACATGAAAAAATATATATGAACAAATAACCAAACAAACAGACCCATAATATAAATAAATGAAAATAAATAAGTTACATAAATACACACGCAGAAATAATAAAAGCAAAACTAAATGAAAGAAAGAATAATTAAATAAATAAACAAAACACGTGATAAAAATAAACAAAAATAAATATGTACGTACATAAATTATAAATAAATATAAGCAAACTAAACATAATTAAATAAATAGAAGAACATATAATTAAATAAATAAAGATGAACAAATAAAGAAACAAACATACGCAATCACGTGACATAGCGCGATATTGTCCAGCCCACATGATAATTGATAACTGTGGACGTTATTTGTCGACACTTGACAACAGACAACATTAAAAAAAACCGTTACAAGATACCATAACACCTTGACTAAAGTCTTCGGTGTAATAAATAAAGCTTACAAAAGGTCTTTCACAGAGTTTCAAAAAAGAGGAAATCTAGAAGTCTAAACTTTAGAATGCAGCTAAACTATCATATAAATGAGACATTTATGGAAGAAAGGCTCGAAGGGTTTTTTGCCAATCAAGTTTCAGCTATTTGAAAAAAACTCGGCAAAACTTTAATTGCTTTTGCTGGAACGCTATTCCAAAAATGGCAGTGCGTCAGTTCAGATATCCAATTTTTCAACTGGCACGACCAACTGAAGTGTCCCAGTTTATGAAGGTAAATTATCTTAAATGAGGAAAGTGGTAAATTTTTTTAATGGAAATCACTGATTAAATCAGCAAAATCATTGTACTACATGGCCTTGGAAAGTAGTCTCACCTAATGAGGAAAAAATACTAACTTATCTACATCCATTTTTGACCGACTGACTCTTTAAACCGTTACAAAGGCGCCTTTTGTTTCAATATATACTTTTTATTCCAGGTGGGCTGCGAGATTTTCTCAATACAAAACTTCAGATTTGTTAATTCTTCATAAATTAGTGGATACGTTTTCTGACACCTCCCATAACGCTTGCCATTAGCAACCAAAAGCAAATCGGAATTTGGTGAGTCTCTGGCGCACCTGGTCTGGAGGTAGGCAATACGCCAGGGACACCAAAGGTCATGGGTTCAAATATGACCAGGACCAGTTTTCTTTTTCATACGGGAAATATGCCGTTTCGAAAAAAATATTCAGCTTATTTTTTGCCTGCTTATGTTTTGTCGACTTTGTTGCCTTATCTTGGATTTTGATTTTCTTGTGCTCTACGCAACTTTCATGGTAGTTGCTTCTAGCGTATTGTTTGTCTCGTGCAATGTGTATTTTTGCTAAGCTCGACTTCCTACATTATCTCTTTTTTTTTGCTTAGAAACTTTATTCGGCTAAAAGACCAAGTTTCACGTAGTTCATGGGAAACATAATTTTTATGCTCCCTCCAGATTAGCACAAAGCTAAAAATCTTAGAGTAGAGTTTTACTTAAAAAATTTTCATCAAAGAGTTATTGTTTTCCGTTTCATCAAAGAGTTATTGTTTTCCGTTTTTTCGGTTCTAAATTTTTGCGGCTCTGTTGATCAGTGTTTTTTTTGCGCCGCTCAATAACAAATTTTTGCGGCACTCGATTAGTATTTTTGAATTTTCATTAGTTCCGGCTCTGTTTTTTTTTGGCCTAGTCAACTTATTTTGTGCCATTTGTACGCAAAAAATAATATTTAAAAGTCAATTATTCAAATTGGCTGTGCTGTAAAAATAGGTTCGATGGGCCTCTAAGTAGTGTTGGTTGTGTTCCTCGACTATTTTTCATAATAATTTTTTTCCCTGTAAAGCTCTTTCAGGGAAATCGGACATGAAAGGGTTGGTGTTTCAACATGGTTTTTAAAAATTTTATGTGCAATAAAAAAATCAGTGCATTTTGCGCGATAGAAATGAAAAAATCAATCTTGAGACGACAAAGGCCTATACCTATAGTTCGAGTCCATCCGGGACCTATTTTTTGTAAATGAAAACTTTTCGAACTATCGTCTGTCTGCTTATTTTGTCGGTTTAGTTCTCGCTGAAAAGGTTTCTGTAGGTTCTGCTTTTTTTAGCAATCCAAATGCCATTCGTAAAAATTTGAATAGTGCAAGTAATTTTTTTTAACATTTTTTTCTGTCAATTTATCTGCACCTTATCATAATCATCCGTTTTGTATCGCAAGCGGTGCAAAGCGTCGCTTCGCTTCCGTTGATTTTTTGATTCCTCAATTTCATGCGTTTTACATTGCACGCTCCTTTGTTATCCGAGATTGTGAGAGTTGTAAACCATTCGTAATAAAGTAGTGGAAGAGAATTTCTATGTAGAAGAAAGCCGGATCTGGAATCCATTGTAAGCGCAGCTAATTTCTTAAATTGTTCTTATCTCTTGCAATATACTTTTTAAAAATCTTTCTCAATTTGCATATCTAATTTTTTTGCAGTTTTGTTCATGCTTGTTTTTTCTAAGGTTTATTATATTCCGATGCTCTTTTGAGCTAATGATCACTTCTAATACTAGGGTATGAATGCTATTAGGATTAAACACTTAAGAAATATTACGCATCATTGAACAGCAACCAAGAGAACTTTCTTACCACACTTTCTTTGATTCTGACGTAAACTAGGAGTTAGGATACAAACGATCGCAAAAACACGCATACATCAAAAACTCATAATATGTATAGATATGTATTATCTTTGAAGCTACCCCACGTTTTACTGAGAAAATTCTTCACCCTTACGGTCAATTACAAAAGAATATTCAAACTAGCTTAACTATGACATAGTACTATTGTATATCGGTTTTGCTCGTGACTATTAGTCATTTCGCTTTCAGATTCTAGATATGAACAACAGAAAGAGATTGGGAACTCGTCAGCACTCTCTAAAACAGAAAGCTACAATTATCAATGAAGATCTTCAGGCATGATTTAAATATAAGTTCAAAAAATATTTGAAGTGGTCCCCTAATCCTGTTATAGGTTTTTATTTTTCATTGATTTTTTCAACCTGCAATCAAACGTTGGAATTTTAACGTTATATCAATTACTGAGACATGGGATTAAAGTTGCAACTTAAGAGTCAAATTAGTTTTGCTCTGAAGCTGATATTTAGAATGTAATTTGAGCGGCTAATTAGTCTTAAATCCAAGTTACAACTACTTCATGTTTTTGCCACAATCTCATCTCCTTTCCAGGCAACTTCCCACCTTCGTACCCGTCAGGCAAGACAGAGTGGGGGTCTTGGTGGCTCTATTTTGATCCCATCTACTCCATCGGACAATGGGGGGAGTGGTAGTTGCAGTAGGAGATCAAACACTCCTGTAGTCATCACGCCATTCGTCAACACTCAGATCAAAATGCTCATGAACAGCAGTGAGTTATTTTAGTATATGGTAATCAATCTACTGAGTTTCAGCATTATTATAGCCCGGAAGGGTTTTTCAAAATAGTAAAAATCTGAATGATGTTAAAAAAGATTGAGAGCGATATGTTTATGCAATATTTAGTAAAGCTTCCTAATGTTGAACGGAAACGGAAATTTTATTTGCTAGAGACAATTTGTGTCCCAATTGCGCTCTGCTAAATTAATTTATTATTCTTTTGTTTTTCCATGAATTATAAAAGAAATATTATCCTGTTATGGTTATTTTTGATTAATTATAGGAGAGCGGAAGATGGCCTCTTCTTTGGAAAAAATGGGATACCTCAACCTGAAGAAACAACACGAAAACAACTTCGATGAGAACCAGAACAAGGAAAACATGAATAAGAGACACCATCCATTCACTCCGTTTGACGAGTGCAAACTGAGTAGTAAGATGTCTAAAGTCTGTTCCACGCCTCTCTCTCTCGCCAAACGGACTCTCTTCAACCCATTCCGAGTGATTGCGTCACAGTCACCTGATGTAAGTGGAGGTGGAACAGCATGTGGTCGATACAGTTTAGATGTATCAGAAGGTAAGAGTTTATTCGTGAGAATTAGTATCTGCCTGTAAAGGTTAAAGTCAATTTTTGCTATAATTGGGCCCTCAAACAGGCGCGATTTTATAATGGGGGGACGTGCCTTTATTTTTGAGGGGAACAAAAGAAACCGTTTTTATACATAATTGAGTGCCCATTTTTCCGAAAAGCACCTTCGGCGCACCGTCGACCATTTTTAATGAAAGTGGTCAACTCTTTGAAAATGAGGCATGAATTTAATAGCTGTGATAATTGCAATATTATAGAAACTGCCCCCCCCCCCCCTTGAAAAAATCCTAGAATTGCGCCTATCCTCAAATATAGGATTTTTCTTCAAACTGTAAACGTGGGGGAATTCACAATATCTCTAGGCCGGCTTTTCTCACTCGTTATCGTCCTTCGCACCGCCGCAATATGTTCCCTTTAGTACTGGGGTCAGTGGGGCAATCGATTCCCGGTACTGTTTACAATCCCAAAAGGGTTGATTTGGTGGTTGGCTACTCTGTATCTTACTATGCTGCTTGCCCCGTGATCTGTGCTCTTCCGACTGTATCTCACTCGTCAATCAATAGTCGATCGCAACAACAATTCCAATAATAAGACTGAATTAAGAAATAAATATAACCAAATACAGAGTAGCCTATAAATGGCTGCAATATCAATCAATCGTTCAGTCAATGGAATGGGTCCGCGATTACTATTATCTAACCCCCTGCTCACTGCAGTTCAATTAACGCCTTACTATTAAATAACTAACTAACGCTCTCCTCGAGAACTTCTTTCAATATCGATCGTTCAACAACGATCCCACTATCCTCTAGATAGCCTAACTTATATCGACTAACTAACTAAATCACGTTAACAAGTCTTCCAACTTGTTCCCACTTTACATTGAGAATAAAGCGACTACCGTAACTCGTAGCCCAAATTGTTCTCTAACTAACTGAGAACCAACTACTCTCAATCGTAGTTATCACTGTTCTCTAACTAACTGAGAACCAACTGTACTCTATTTCAGTATCAATTGCTCTGACCAGTTCGGTGGTTGTACCTTAATCGCGTATCGTTATCTTTATTTACTTTCGGTTCGGTCAGAGGCCTACCGTTCCTTATCACTACTAACATTCACTTAACTAGCTGCCACTCAGGACTTATCAGCTGAATCAACCATTAGGTCAGTTTTAATTAAACTAACATTCACTTAACTAGCTGCCACTCAGTTAATCAGGACATACTGAGCAAACATTGGGTTCAACTACAAAATCAGCTCCCAATCGTATTTGACAAATGAACCCTTGCATGATTTTATTTTAGTTCTTCCTAACTTTTTCCCTTTCCTATGAATTGGGTAGTTCTCACTCAATCGGTAAATTAACTTCCGTGATACTTGAAAAGTTTCCATTTTGGTCATTTAAATTTTATTCCCCTCAGTCCAAAGGCTGGGTAATTCCCTTCCCCGTGTCCGTTTTGATCCGAAAAAACACCACAAGAATTTATTTAATATGCTAAGGCTGTTCATAAAATCTTCATCCCGAAATTCCCATTTCCTTCCATAGATATTCCCAATTTTTGTACGGGGCTGTATTTTTACTTGTTTGTCGGTTTTATCGAAAGTCCAAGTGGAGTGGGTTAAGCTGACCCCAATGTTTGCTAATTACAGAAAATCACTTTCGCTCGCGTACAAAGGTCAAAACTAAAACTCTCGATTTAGGGGTCTCGCCTGGTGGGTAGGTACCCCTTACGGGTCCTTACAAGGCTAATTTATCGCTTTTCAGGGGGTTCCGGGGTCTTGGGGTCAAAATTGCCAAATGGCCTCTTTGAGGTCATCCGAGGTCAAATGAGGTCAAACGCGTCCAAACGTCTTATTTTCGATGGGAGATCATTCTCACTAAGTTTCATTCATATCGGACCTTCCCTTCCCATATTTTCGAAAATATTGGGTCAATTAACACTTTTCTTTAAAACTGCCATTTTCACCCCATAGGAAGTTCCGGAGAGGATTGGGTCACTAGACGTCCCCCTACTGGGTTCTGCCCCCCTTCACATTGGTGCATTAAAATCACAAGTCAATTATCACTATCAGGTGTTAATAGCCTTATTCAATTTTCAAGTGCTAATAGCTTCCGACGTAGCCGCCGGATTGGGTCCAAACATTGATACATTATAGGTCTTCCCCAAACCTACCATCCCCCCAAGTTTCAGCCTCCTATCATTATCAGGGGTCGAGAAATAACAAAAAGTGGGTTTTGTTTACATAAGGCGTAAAACCGGAAGTAATAACCGGATGCGTTCAAAATCCCGGTGGTGATCTTCCCTCGCCTAGGGCTACAACATATTGCAATATGAAGTCATTCTGACCATTAGTTACCGGTTTACAAAAAGTGCTAATTGCATTTTCGGAAATTATTATCACTCGCCCCCCAGGGGTCCCCGGGGTCTGAAAATTTGCATGCCCGGCTAAAATCATCTCTATTAGTCACCCACCAATTTTCATAAGGATCGGACCAGTGGTTCCCAATCCGGGGGGGGGGTTTCCAGAATTTTAGCGCTTTCTTCTTTTTTTTTCCAATTCTTCGCCCTAGAGGTCAAATTCAATGTGCAAATCCGATTACGATTGTTTGTTCTCTCAAACTAAGCTTATCTGTCACTGAATTTCATTGCTACAAGTTCATACAGTCGGTTTACGTTGAAATTGAATTTCGCAACTTTCACCCATTTTCATCATGAATTACCAATTTTACACTCAGGTTTCTATAGCATGTAATACAGTAGAATCACCAATTCTACAATCTTCCCTTCTAGTCTATTATTCTCCCGAATAATGAAAAAGTTACTATTAACAAGCCTAAGGTTAACTTACATAACGCTTCGTTCCGCTACGCCGTGCTCCCCAACACTTGGTCGTTTTCCCTCCTTTTAAAGTTTTACCCTTAAAGATTGCGGACCCATCAGTTAGTCCCCGTTAAATAAACAATTATATAGCACAATGAGTAACCTAAGAGGGGACGTAACTGAATTGACTTTACTCTTCATGGTACGATCCAACCCTTTCCTATTCGTAATCATCAATGTTCAAAATCCGCACAAAACCGTTAGGTGGGATCGCACTCAGATAACAAGAAGCACCAACTATATATATGAAATGAACAGAAACACTTTATTAATGAAAGTTTTAACTCACAAACGCGTCGATTCCAAACCTCACAGGTGGTTTCCTTACTCGAGTTGACCGACCGCCGTCATCTGCAGTGCCGATTTCCATCACTGGTTCAGCAGCCATCGGCTCTCCCGGGGGTCTGCCTTCCGCCTCACTCGGTAGATTCGCAGGCTCTTCTTCCCTTCTGGCCTCGAGCTCCGTCGCATCGTACGTCTCTATCGTGTCTTCTTCCCTCCTAGCCACATCGATCATTCGTTGAGGTGGATCAGCAAAGTGTTCGGGCATCGCCCTGTTTCGCACATTTCGCCCAGGTGGGTTAACTTGTTGCTCTTCCGCTTGATTTCTCACAGGCAACAATCTCACTGGTACATCTTTTGGACCTGGGTCATGACTAAAACCCTCCCGGTTGTTCACCCACAACAACTCATCTTTATCATACATCTCCCGGTCATCGAAGAAACTAACCGACCGATAAGACGTCGGTCGCTTGCTCGTTGTGGCCCCATCTGTCTCTTGAACCACTGCAACCATATCTGATCGATCTCCTCCACGAGTCCTTCTCAGTGCTTCCTCTAACGATACTGGCTTGGGGCATCCATTCATGTCGTCGTCTTCAGCTTCGTTATCATGGAGCATATTTACACTGTGACTCTCATAGTTGACTGGCCAACCCTCTGGAATTTCGTCCAGTACATCGCTGGACAAATTATTTGTCAGAATTGGTCTATCCCACCGATTCGCTTCCAACTTGTTTTTCCCTCCTGGGTCTGGGGGAACTCGGGGGACCAGCTGGGGAGCCTTATAAAACACTGGCACAACCGATCCTTCCGTACGGCCCGTCCACAAGTTGTCTCTGCTGAATTCTAACGAACATTTGTACCCTCTCAATGATCTGAGAACGAGAACCATCTCAGCCTTCAGTTCTGGTACCACCAGAGCCTCGATTTCATCATCGATGACACCTAACTTCAAATTTGTCGTTATGTAACCATCAAAAGCGACTCTCTTTCCGTCCGCTGTCTCCAAGTGACCCCTGTACAGTTTTATCTCCGGCCCATCAACAATTTTTCGAGCCTTGTCGCTTCGGATCAAATTCGTTGTGGCCCCCGTGTCCAATAACGTGTCCATGTTCGTTCCTCCAACGCAAGCATCCACATAGGCTCCGTACGGATCATTCGTCCAATGACTAATACCCACGCACTCGTATGTCATCTTTGTTTGGCGATTGTGGGTCGCGCCTGTATCATTCGCATTATCTGTGGTTCGTGGCCGACGCTGCAATATTGTCCTCACATGCTCCCCGTCGAGGATTGAATCACCTTCGCATTTGTCTTCACTATGCTCATCGACCGATTTCTCGTTTTGTCCCATCTCCGTCGGGTAGACGCGTTCCATTGAGTTGTCGTCAGGTTCGCAATTCCCCAGATCACCTTCTCCCAAAGAAGCATGACTCATTCCCTTACACTCGTTTTCCTGACCGCTACTTTCAGAAACTTCGATGTCGACTCGCTCGGTGACATCGTCAACCATCGCCGATTCGTCAATTCTGATCTCAGTCATTTCTGTGCCAGGTCCCGCATCCTCGTGATAAACCAGCACCGTGTCACAGGAGTCTGTAGTCGCAGCTGCCTTGGCGCATACTCTTCCTGAATCCATTCCACGTCGGACCCGAAATCTCGGTCTCCCAGGACATCTGAACCTAACCTGAATTGGACTACTGCACTTCGCTCCAGTTTTCAAAACTTCGTTCCTCATGTCGAAAACGAAACCTTCGTTCTGTTCATACCAAACGAGGCCAAGTGTTAGATCAACATCCAGTCCATCGACCACCAAGACTTCG